AGTTTAGTTTAGTTTAGTTTAGTTTAGTTTAGTTTTTTTAGTTTAGTTTAGTTTGTTTATTTTACCCAGTCAAGCCCATTTTGATGCAATTGCACCTAAAAAAATGAACAAATAAAATATGTATTATCTCAGACATAGTCTGCGGAGTATCATTGAACTTACAATGTGATATAAAACAATAACTATCGTAACGTAGAAATAATGTGTTCAGATCTGTATGCACTTTTAGAACAAAAAAAAAAAAGATTTCCGGAACAAGTTTGCATGTTCTGTTATAAGTCCTAGGGTGGGAGTTTCGTTTGTCAAGTTAATTTTCTCTTTACAATGAAAAACATTCAACTAATTCAGCTAAATTACATTGAAACTATTTTTGTAAAATATCGTGTTAGCTGTAGTGACTTTTTTTCCCTCTAACTAAATTTTTGAGCTAGGTATTTTAAATTAAATCCTGACATATTTTGTATGGTATATTATATGTAACAAAGGTCTGCCATATAATTGGCACGCTCAAAATTCCGCCGCTCGAGTCAACCCTTTCTTTTTTCCGCGCGTTCTGTTTACCGTCTCTATGGTTACAGAGCAAAACGCTGCTGAAGCTGCACAGTATTTGACATACCGCTGCTCGCATGAGAAGTAAATTAGAAAACCTAATTTGCTCAAAATGAGTCATTCTGCCAAGCGCACAGTCACTAATAAAAATAAAGGTCACCCGGTGGCGCGGGAGCGGCTTTATGACCACTTATATGGTGAGTCGAGTTGGCTAAAGCTAAGCTAACAAATGTAAAGATGCTAACGTTCCCTGATGTCTGTCATAGATCCAACTTACACTGTGTCATCAGAGACGGAGCACACCAGGGCCTGTCTCAGGGCCATGAACCATCGAGGCTTTGTAAGTTGTTCCAGTTTTAGTSAGGGGCTGTTATTTATTTTTATTTATCAACAATACATGTTTCGGTGATAGTGATTTTTTTTTGTTAGTTTTTTTTTTTATTAAAACACCTGTAAACTCTGATTTGTGATATTCCCTTGTTTTTAAAGCATTTACTTTTCTTTTTTTTCTTTTATTTTTGTAGAGAAAAGTCCCAGAGTTTGCACTGATGTTTAGTGACCAACCATATTATAAGGTTAAAATGGACCCTGCATACCCTGTTCCATCTTTTTCTGATTACCATCGTCGAGGACAASCTGGGCAGCGCAAAGAGGCTCTGCTGCAGCTGGCTGGGTAAATAAATAAGCAGGATTTTCTGCATTGCTCCAATGTTACATGCCTTAATCAGCTTGTGGGTGTGATTCTTCATTATCCTTTTTTGGCAGGGTACCAAAGTCTCACACTCTGCTAAAAACAAAAGAATGTCATGTGACTGGAGCTGATTACTGGAAATATTTTAAAAGGTTTGATTTGCCAACCTACACTCTTTGATTGGACAAATATGACAGKAAAGATGTAAAGATTAATTTGTAATCTGTCACTGATAACTAACTCATTTGTTTCTTTTTAGTCCTTTAACTCCTTTCCAACATCAGTTTCCACCAAGTCTAATAGGTGACTTGCCAAGGTAAGTTTCACACATTCCATCTGTGTTTTATTAGTAGTAAATATATTTTCTTTTTTTTTTATCTTTGTGTGACTTCAGAGAAGACTTCCTAAAAACKGGTGGAGAAGAGCCCACCCACCGCAACGTGAAGGTTCAGACGGACTACAGAGAGAGTGAAACACAGACAGACCCATACAGCCCGGAGTATGTGCTGCAACCTGGGACGACTCCCTCAGAGCTCCTGCAACTGGCARCTTTAACTTGGGGTGTCAGAGCTTCACTTTTTATAAACAAAACAAAGAACATCCAACTTTGAAACCATATAATTCCTCCAGGCATTTGATTGCCGTTCTGTGAGTATGTTACATGACTTATAATGCACTTTTTTTTTTTGTTCTGTCAATACCATTTAGGCCATGGTCTGCCAGCCGGCCTGGCTGAGGTGGAAATGATAGAGCGAGCTCGAGCGAAACGAGCTTGGGAGGCCAGCCTTCCTCCGCTGAACGACTTGAGCCAGTTCCACAAGAGGATGCGGATGGTGGAGGAGATGGAGGCCAAGGAGTGGGCTTTCAGGGAGCAACGAATCAAAACGTGAGGCGTTCAACAACTCAAACACTTTCTCAACTCAGCACGTCCAAAGAGACATGCATTTAAAATGGTTCCTTCTTAATTAAAAAATAATAATAAAAGGAAGATATTTTTCAAAACATAAATGAAATACTGTAAATTAATTTTTTGTAGATCGTAAGTAAGTAAGTAAGTAAGTAAGTAAGTAAGTAAGTAAGTAAGTAAGTAAGTAATTACCTAATTTCCCTCTGGGATCAATAAAGTATTTTTGAATTTAAATTGAATTGAAGTAAGCAAGTCTGCTACTGAGTGAGTGAGTGAG